TTTTTTACCCAAACTTTCTTTTTACCAAACAGCCTAAAATATGTTCTCTAAATTTAATTTAATCAAAAATATTCAATTGAAATAGGCAAGAATTGAATCAAACGCAAAAACACAAGCTCGGTTTACTAACTTGAGCGATAATTCATTTACAATCAAAATTCTTGTTCTGAAATTTCTCATTTTTTCCCAAAATTCTGATCCGTCATTATCATATATGTTTAAAACTTTAAATACGTATTTATGTATGAAGGTATCCGTAGAACCTTCTCTCCTCCTTTGTACTCTATTCAACATCTGTATACGTATAATGAAAATTATGGCATTAGTCCCCAATTTATTGCCCACATCAAAAGTTTGTCCCTAACTTGCAAAATAGTCATCAATAGCTGAACTTGTCATAATCTCAATTAAATTGACACGTGACACTCGTGGGGGGCATGTCTTATTTCAAATTCTAGGCATTACCTGTTTGGACGGATTTATTTTAATGAGGAATAATTGTATAACTATGATGAAAGGTTTATAACTAAATTATTTCTTTTTAAAGGTTGAACATTAATTTGCTAATTGAACCATAGATTAGGGATCTATAGAGGAATTAACCCTATATAATAAGTTTATGGGTTAATTTCACAAACAGTGACTGAAGTTACGTTAAAATCACAAAACGGCCACTGAAGTTTAAAACTTGCACTAACGGTCACTGAAGTATCATTCGGTTTCAGTGATGGTCATTGAAGGACCTTTTTCATTTTATTTGGAACTTAATTGACCAAAAAAGTTGAAACTTGAATCTTGACGACCTAAATTGCAAATTTCCCCCCAAAACCATTTCTTTTTGGGGTGAAACACCACATAAGAATGGAAGTTGATTTTGGGAGGGATTAGGGTGAAAATCATGCTAATATCATCTAATTAATTCTTCTCAATCCTTAGCTTGAGCTTCCAATCAAGAACTCAAATAATCAAATCCTCTTTTCATGATATTTCCAAGAAATTCAAGAAAATGGCAAAAATAGTTTGAATTTGATTCAAGAAAAAAACCCATTTGATGAAATCAATTCTTTGGACCAAATTTCCTCTTCCTAGTTTGAGAATCTGTCCTTATCCCATTCAACAAATGCTGAGTATTTTGTTTTAGAAGTTAAAACAATAGAAGATCAATTCCTTTTGATTATTTTTCGGAATATGGAAATTCAATTCTGCCTGAGATTCATGATGGTTTTGGCCATGGGTCATGGATCTAAGACAACAATGCATTTTGGGTGGTGTCGACGATTGTGGAGGGGTGGGATAAGGTGAGAAGAAGAAGGATAATTTATGACCATTTAATTGGGTAATTGTGATAAGTTAATTTGATAATTTATGGCTTAAAAATAAGTTGTGATTAATTAATTTGATAATTTGTGATCGATAAATAAGATATAACCTATAATGTGTGATTTTTTTACCAAATTTACAATTTTGTCTTTATGATTGTGACTAATACGTAACTATAACCATAAATTATATTTTATTGTGACATTAATCAATTTAATTAATACCGCTTGATTTTTGAAAAAAATTTCACAAGTACGTCAATTTTGAAAGTACATCTTTAAAGGTTGATAGCTAAGTCAAATGGAACCTTATTATTTTAGATTAGCTTCGTGTAATTTTTTTTTTTGATACCCATGTATCCCAACTTACACCAGACTATATCGTGGACCACCCAGAACCGGTGCCTCAACTCTGGGCGGAGATAAATCGCGGGTTATGCCCAATCAAGCCAGTGTCTATGCAAGCTTTATACTTCTGGCCCCAAGGGAGCCTTCCTGCGCCTGCTTTTATATCACCAAACTGCTCCACCACATGTTTTGGGTATTACAACACTTGGCTGCTCTGTCCGTGATTCGAACTCCCCCCACTGGGGTTGCAAGCCCAGCCTCGCACTGTCTNGTCCGTGATTCGAACTCCCCCACACAAATTAATGATATAGATTCATTATAGGGTTCCTATTAAGAATTAATCTCAGTTACCTTCACTTATTGTACATCGTACGATCATTAAGGTTTTGTCTTACATCTTATTGTAGTCTAATAAAAATATAGTTACATTACATGTATAATTCTTACGGTAAACCTATTCTACGCACGAAATAAATAAACTCGTAAAAGACAATGAATAAAACAAAAATCACTTTTCCAGGCGACACAGATCTAGTGCCTATTCTTCTCACATGAGTT